TATGTGTTTACCTGGCTGTTATGGTCACTTGGCCAAGAGCTCCCGGGAGCAACCTGGCTGACTTCGCTCTCCGTCCCTGATGCTCAGCGCAGTGCCTGATAGAATGAAGGGGCTTGCAGAAGGTTGTGTGGATTAATGCATAAATGGATTTTGAAATGAGAGTGATTGATGCACCTCACAGAGCCGTAGGTCTTTCGTATTTTCCTGCGAGGGAGGTCCGTTAGGGTTACGTAGATTTTATAAGACCATCTGGCCATGATTGCAACTTTATCTCTGGTAAATTAAGCCTGCACAGAGGCAGTGTGTCACCTCTGCTTACCGCCCATTACAGTTTGCTTTGTGCTCAGAAGAAATTGAGCAAGCCGGTCAGAGGCTGCTATGTGCACCTGTCTCAGCCTAAAGAGCCTCGATTAACCTTGCGTATAAATTACACTTCCTGCCCATTCTTTATTTTTAGCTCAGCAATATCTCCTTGGCTCCTCCAGGGAAGACTGCATTAGGTTTCAGTCATGAAACTACAAAGCAGTGGCGTCTCTAGCTGGCTGAGATGACTCTTATTAACCCCATGACACTCCGTTTCTTGGGACGCTCCCTGGCTCCGAGACTTAGGTTTTCCACAGAACGATAGCGATAGCGGCCTGGGCCATTCAGCGCCCTCAGGACCTGGCCCCAGCCCACATGTGCGTTTGTAGAGAAATCTGCTATTCAGATCTGACCTGCCTGGACTTACATAAACTGTCGATTTCCCACATTCATCCCCTTTGAGGGAAACTCATTTGTTGTTCCTGCGAAAGTTTCGTTTTGTTGCTTTCTCTCCCTCCCTTCCTCTCACCCTCTCTCTCTCTTTCTCTCTCCCGCTTCTCAGTTACGCAGTATCATGACCCAAATCTTTAGTGCTTAAACTATATAGCTGAGAGCCCTGAAACCCACAGGGCCGGGGGCAAGCTGTGGAGACAGTCGGCCAGCCAGTGGGCATCCGTCCACAGAGAATTCTTAACCACCTGGGGCTGCTTCACTGGGAGACATGAGCTACTTAGAGTCAGCCTTCCCTCACCCTCCCTGCCTCGCCTTTTTTCAGTCAGCCATTCTGAACACGATTTTGTTTATTTTAGAATCCTCTGAAGTGCCTAGCTCTGAGTCCAGCCGCACGAGGTCCATACATGTTGGTTGAGTTGAATGGAAATCCACGTTGGAGTGTGCCCATTTAACCCTTCAGGGACATGGAAGAAGCAGGCTCCCTTCCCGTGCCCCAGGCTATGAAATGCTGTCTTCTCAGCACAAGGCCAAAGGAGGGTTCTTTAAAAAGCCATTTATTGGTTTTATTCTGGTTAGACAAGGAATACATGATTCCTTTAAAAATTGGGAAAATATTAAAAATTATGAAGAACCAAATTAAAATTCCCCAATATCCCATTACCCAAAGGCAACTACCACTGATGTTTTCCTGTTTTCTCATCTTAGTCCTCATGAGTGAGGGCCCTGTATCACTCCAGATTTTTCTGAGGATTGGGGGACGTGGGGCAGGGGTAGATTATATTCTTTCTAATCTTAAAGCTTCAGGCATTATTGGGATACACACACACATATTACAAATTTATATATATTATTGGGGTATGTTTTATTAGGATATATATATTCACATGTGTATATCACATAATACATACATATATAATATATACCCATATAATATATAAATATTTGATCTGTATCAGCTGTTGCCACAATAGTACTATATGACTACTCTCAAACTCAGTGGTTTAAAATGAATGTCACTTATTATTGCTCATACTTCAGTGACTACCCTGGGTATTTGCTGATCTAGGCTGGGCTCTGCTAAGCAACTCTAATTTCAGGTATAGGACCAACTGGGCATGGTGTCTGACTTGGGTTGGGCTCCAGTCTACTCCCTATGTGTTTTTCCCGGGGCCAAGGCTGAAGGGACAGCCATTGAACAGAGAAGCTCTTTTCTTGGTGCTAGCAAGGCACAAAAGGACAGACCCAAATGCGCAAGCACCTTCCAAGCCTCTCCTGTGTTGTGTCTGCTAACATCCCATTGGCTAAAGCAGATGACATGGCTGAGCCCATAATCCGGGGGCAGGAAAGTACAATCCACCCACCATGAGACCAAAGCAAGTCATGTGGTGAAGACCAACATCAGTGGGTCAGGGATGTATCCACTTCACTTCCCATGGAGGTGAAGAGGGGAGGGAGGGAATATGTTTGAGAATAATAGACTCTACCCACGTCCTACATATCTGCTGAGGAACTCTGTCCTCTGGGATTCAGTCTGCTCAGAACCCACCTGGCAAGTGCTATCATCCAGTCTTCCCAGGAAGCCTCCTCCAATGCTCCTCTATCCATTCAACAAGTTCAGTTTCTGGATCATTTGACTGCCCCATGTGTATTGTTCCTATTGCACATTTGTATCCCTTTCCTTGATTCCCCCCCAGAATAATTTACACAGAGGTGGGTAGAAGATTTTGCTGCACATCTGGAACAGCAAAGGAGTTTTGTATCTTTTTGTTTATATATCTTTGTCACTCGGCCCCATCTCCTGTAGATGCTGTTTGCATCTCAGCCTGCACACAGCCTCTCAAATCCAGGCTTGCTGAAGAATTCACCCTGGCCTCAGAAATCCTAAAGGTTTCATTTGGCTGAGCCGTGTCTTTTTGCAACTTGGTTTAGTTTCTTTGATTCTTTCAATAGACATATGTTGAGCACTTGTGCCCTCCAGCCCCATGATGAATTTATAATCTAGAAGGGGAAATGAATGATTTCTATGTGCTATCATATGGGGTTTAGGGTTGCTAAACCTCAGCACTATTGATATTTGGGGCCAGATAATTCTTTGTGGTGGGGGCTGTCCTGGGCATTGTGGGAGGTTCAGCACCATCCTTGACCCCACTACCCACTAGATGCCAGGAGCACCATCCCCACTCTCCTTGAGTTATGGACAACCAAAATGACTACAGACATTGCCAAATATGCCCTGGGGGACAAATCACCTCGGTTGAGAACCACTGCTTGAACATATAGTAGACTTGCTAAGACCTCTGATAAACCAAAATAATGTGCTAATAAATGACGGCAGTGTTATTTCCTGGTGGTGCATCTGTGAAAGCCTCTTGGGGTAGCTGGTGTGTGAGCTAAGACTTCAAGAATGGTTAGGGTTTTGAGATGGGTTTCTCGGAGGAGGGGAAAACATGGGGCACAAATGGGCAAATAAGGAGTAGTTCTTGTTGTCCAGAGTGGAGGCCATGTAGGTACTGGGAGGCTAGCTACTCTAGGGCTATCTAAGTCATTATAAGGACTTCCACTTTTACTGGGAGTGAAATGATAAATATATCTATGTTCATTTGGAGGGAATATGATTGTACATAGAGCTTGTCTTCATAATCCAAAGTAATTGCTGCAAAGTTTCATCCATCCAGAGGTCATTTTTCGGATGCCCAGGAAGGAAACCTCTGAGGGGCACAGTACATCCCTAAATGGACCAATGCCTGTAGCTTGGTGTCCCTTACCCCTCTGAAGATTTTAGTTTGGACTCTTTATCTTAGGTCTTAGTTGAACAGACTTGGTTAGCCAGTTCCCAGCAGCAGATTAGAAGATGGATGGGGGGGGTGGTGGGACAGATATAGAGGGGCCCAGATTTTGCCACAAAGCTCCCAGCACGATAGAGGGGAAAGAAACCAAAAGCAAAATTGAATGAGCAGGGGCGCCTGGGTGGCTCAGTCGTTAAGCGTCTGCCTTCGGCTCAGGTCATGATCCCAGGGTCCTGGGATCAAGCCCCACATCGGGCTCCCTGCTCAGTGGGAAGCCTGCTTCTCCCTCTCCCACTCCCCCTGCTTGTGTTCCCTCTCTCGCTGTCTCTCTCTGTCAAATAAATAAAATCTTCAAAAAAAAAATTGAATGAGCAAACAAATATGTTCAGGCCAAATAATTCTTTAGGCAGGGGAACATCCACCCTTTCATAATCCTAAGGACATTGCTGCATGACAATGTCACCCTAGTATGCCAACTTACGAAATGTTTAGCAAGGCAGGAACTACGCAAGATATTGTAGAACCCATGTGGTAAGAGTTTAGCACCATGGTCAGGAGTAGGGTCTAGAGTTTGACTTCTGGCTTGAGGTCTTGCTTCAAGGCTCTGCAGCAATCAGCTAGCCCCTTAACCTTGCCAGGCCTTACTGGTCTCATCCGTAAAATGGGGACTCCCTACCCAAAAGGTCATTGGGAAAGTTAAATAAAATCCACTGTGTGAATTCTGAGCTCCATTCTTGGCACAGATTTGGTGCTCAATAAACGTTAATAGTTAATACTATCATTTCATTGAAAGAATAAGTTACTGAGACCTCTCCCAGATTGAAACTGTTCTGGAATATTCCCAGAGTCTCCCGGCAGTACCCAAATTTCCCTTTCAGAAAATACCTAGGATGGCCGTGACAACTGAGAAAGTTCCAGAAGAAAGTTCCGGTTGTATCAGTTCCCCCGTCCCTTTTCCCTTCTTTTGGGCGGAAGAGGATGGGCCCCTGAGGGCGATGACAGCAGGCTCGGGAGGGTATTGGCCACCAGCCTGTGGCAACGTTATTTCCTTTGAGCGAGATTAGCTTTTCCCTCTTTAGAAGAACTGATAGAAGAACAGTTATTCTGAGATAACTAGGAGACCAGGAGGCTCTTTTCCTCTGGCCATTATGCCCTATGCTATGCAAAAATATCTACCCCCAAATTAAGACAGAGTTCAGGGGGAGACACCAAGGCGTATTGCAAAGCGGTGGAACTGAGCTAGTGGTAGTCCCTCTGTGTTGTTTTTCTTCCATCACTGTCTGCGGAGTGGCAGAGCTGAACACACAGGGTGCTCTGTGAGGTGCCCTGGCCTGGCACCTTGGCATTATAATGGGGCACGGAGACTGCCAGGAAGTCACCCCACAGGAAGGAGCTGCTCTCTGGCCCGGGGATGGCAGGACAATAAAGGACCCTGTTCTCTGTTTGTGTGTTTTCCAGGCTGGAGCAGGAAATACAAGCGCTAGAAAGCGAAGAGTCCCAGATATCTGCCAAAGAGCAAATCATCCTAGAGAAACTAAAGGAGACAGAAAAATCCTTTAAGGACTTTCAGAAGGTAAAGAAAACAAATGTGATTTCTCCAGATTATATCCGAGGGGAAGTAAGCACTAGCGAATGGGCACCAGTGGAATCGAGACCTGTTAGTACTGCTGAGAAGTCTGAGCCCCATGCTCTGAGAAATGTGGTGCAGGTGTGTGAGGACCCATGGGGGTCTCTGGCCCTGACCGTGGCCTGTAGTCAGGTGTGGGACCACCTGGTCTGTGGGGAAGCACAGAGGCGAGCCTTTCAATCAACCCCATCTACCTATTGTCCAAACCCTTTATATGCCCGGTTCCTGAAAAGTCGTCTCACCTTGGACTTCAGGATTCTAAAGCCAATTCTTATGAAGCAGATTAGACCTGCTCCTTGTGGCTTTAATTTAAGTCTTTCCTTTATAAACAGGCCAGAGGCAAAACCATATCAAATGGATATGAATTTCAAATACACAGAGTGTAAACACTGTGGAAACAGATGGTGCCGTGTAGTGCAGAGGAGAGACTGCGTAAAGCCAGTAGTCTCTGAATATCTCAGGACCTTCCTTCCATTTTATCGCCCAGATACCCAGACCGAAGAAACAATCCAACCAATTTAATTTTAAGATGGGATTTTTCTGATGTCACTTCTTTCTCCAACACAGCCAAGGGTATTTGCTGGATAACTGACGTAAATCCCTCCTGGGAGAAATTCAGTATGAGGTGGGAATGATAAAACATTCCCTTAAATTTCAGAATCCCAAACAAATTTCCCAGAAGAAAAGAGAGCATTGGGTTTACCCACCATGGTCAAATTCTGGACCTGGGGGAGAGAAACGGGTTAGATGGATGAGGGATTGTCCCCCCACGTGTGTAGTGACGCTCTGCCCTGCTTTTGTTTCCACAGAGCTTCTCCAGTGTGGATGGAGGTAAGTGGAAGAGCTCTCTGCCCCCATTCTATAGAAGAATCTTATCCCGGTCAGCTTAGTGGGCTTCACGAATACAGGCTCACCGGGAGATGCGATGTGTTGGTGTGTGAGGTCATCAGAAAGAAGGAGTAGCTCTCTGTGCAGGGCCCTGAGGAAGTACACGTCCCCAGGCTTGTCTGCCTCTCTTCTTCAAGGATGGTTTCTCGACTCACCGTTTTTAGTCTTACACAGTTGGACTGGCTCCTCCCCTTCCCATTTGGTCCTCAAGGTTCGCTGCTTGGACCTTTCTTGAAAGGTGCTCTGCCTAGAGTGCTGACATCGGGACCAGGTCCCTGGCGAGAATGAGCCCATTTGTGCCTAGGACTCCAGGTCACGACACATGTCAGAAGGCCATCATCTGGTGTTTAGGAAGCCTTTCTAAGGCTGTGTTTTTATTCTGAATCAGGAAACAGCTATTTCTCCAGCCTTCCAGGGTAACAAGGCTGGGCAGAACCTCCCTCCCTGCGTGGCGAAGTTGGCCTTGAACCCATGAAGGGTGGGAGCAGGGCCCTGGCTTCCTGACCCCATCCTGGCAGGAGTGGGTCTTGCTTCTGTTCTCCCTTCCCTTCCATGGCCCTACCCTCCACTCTCCTTCCCTGTGGAAGAGAATTTCATGGGAATGAACTTGAGGTTTTGTGCTTCTCATCCTTCACCTTGCTCCCCTCACTTAAGCTACAAACTCATGAAAACCACTCCATTCCCACTTTCACTATGGCCCTCAACTAGACCTGCTTTAAAAGGCCAGGACTTGTCAGAAGGATCAGGTGCCATTTGCTCTCCTGGTTCTTATAAGGTCATCCTCTAAACTATGAAGATGATCAGGAGCCAGAATAAAGGTTGGCATCAGTGTTTTGCTAATGTCATTTGCAAATATAAGGGCAAAGATTTAAAAATGCAGAGATGGGTTATGTATTCTTCTGGATTAGCAAAGATATTTGCACTAAGGATAATTCTGACTTTAGCCAGAAAAAAAGTATTGTGTTATTTTATTTTATTTGGTGGGGGAAAATGGTTTCCAGCAAATAAAAGGCAGGGAATCTGGATTTTTGGCCCCCAGGTGATCTTTGGGAAGGTAGTAAAATAAACTTCATGTTCCCAGCACATGTGGGCAGAGACAAATCAGGGCCAAACTAGCAGGGACTCCAGGTGGAGGACCTATGACATTCTAAAGCCTTCTCTAGGGTGTGGCCAAATCAGGGCTCTTGTTCTGTGTTTTGGGGATAGAGCATGGACGGAGGAGGTGGCCTTGCCTCTTTGGGGAAATAAAGGGTGGCAGCATGGGAAGCATAGTGGGCTTCCCTAGTGCTAGGAAAGACCTGAGGCAGGGGACATAATCAGCAATCATGCAGTATGTGTGAGGCTGGAATGGGGCTGTGGGACATCGACCCACAGACACCTACATCCTGGAAGGGTACACATTGACCTTTCGTGCTTTTACTTCTTTTTTTCCCCTCTTTTTTCTCAAACCAGAATCTTTCCTACACTTTTCTCTATAATTAGGGAAGGGAAGGAGCCTGAATGTCATGTCTCTGGGAAGGCTCTGTGGGGCATGGAGACCCACATAGCCTATAACTTGTTAATAAGCAACACGGAAGCCAGATTATAAACACTTGCCACTGCATCTTTCATTTTCAACCTGAACTTCTTTCATTTCCTCCTGCATCACTTCTCACAATTGGAATCCCTTCACCTAAGCAGTTCATGAAAGTGGGAAGAAACTTGATTGTGACTAAAAAGAGCCTGCAGAGAAAATTGCTCTGATGACTCTGTCTTCAGTCACTTTTTGACAGAGGTGACCTCAGGCTCAAGGATGTAGACATCTTAGAGATCCCAAGAAATGGCCAGGGAAAGGTTTTTGTGGTCTTATCTGTGGTTATGATTCGTGCCATCTCTGGTTATACCTAAGTCTGGGTGGAGCTTTCCATTGCACCACATCTACTGGCAAAGAAAGAAGTTTGAAGGAGGCAACACATCCTCTAAGAATGCTGTCAATGTTTAGCTCACTCTGTGGTCTGAGAGTACAAACTGAAGCAAATCCAGTTGAGGGACTCTGGAATATCTGATTAATGTCTCATTCTTTGGTTTCAAAGGCCCCTCTATATCAAAGTTGCCAAGACCCTCTCAGAATCAACCACCTGTTGTTACTAAGAAGTAACCCGAAAGTATTATAGAATAATAATGCCTTTAGAAAAATACCCCACTTCTGAAAAGCTGATTACAGAATCCAAGGCCAACTAGGATTATATAACTGTACAAGATGCTGCAGATAATCAGCAAAAACATCCCTAGTTTAATGAGGTGCCAAGGAGATGGCTGCTGGTGACCCCACTTCAGGTCCCTGTGCATGTCACCCTATGCATGTCAGAGGACATAAAGGTCCAGCACTGCTAGATCACCAATGGCTTTGGATTGCGTGGTAGTCCTGGCCATCAAGAACAATGTAGTCCAATCTTGAGTAGAATTCCCTGGCCATGTACATTCCGACCCCCCTCTCTTCCTCCCCACCCCATATACACACTTGTTATATGGCAGAGTCTTCACCAGTTGGGTGGGTTGTTTTTACTGCCTTAAATAGGCAGAATGTCTTGTGTAACTGTAATTTCCATGTAGTATATATCTTGTGCTAAGTATTCTTTACCCACCGAGGACCTGGGGTGAAACCATTGGCCAGAACAGGCAAAGGAAAATGTTGTCCCGGGCCTGTCTCCGCCCTTGCTGTCCGATACTGCTCTTAGGTTTCCATCCCGTCCCGGTCTTGCGGCGGTGGCCGGAAGCCATCCCCATATCAACTCCTTCATAGCCATTGCTGGGAAATCTCAGTGTGTTTTCAGGTGCCCCTAAGTCATGCATTCCGGAGAGTGTTCATCTGCTTTGTTTCTCTAGCTCTGGCTATGCATGTCCATCATAGTCACAGTAAATACTTCAGCAGGGCTGGGACTAACAAGGAGCACTTATCTTACATGTCTACCCTGGCAGTGACCGTTCTCTGCCTTCTCTGACCATAGACCCCCCCTGACTTTGGCAGGAAGAGGGCAGGTTACTGACTGAGGCCACGTGAAGAAATTCTTCCCATGGAGGTTTTGGAGGCCCCGTTAATTATTCCTGGTGTTTGTCTGTTGGCCACCTCCCGGCTGCATAGCTTTGTGTTGACTACTTTATGCTATATTGAGGGGGCTGGCTGCCCGGTTCTCCTTTTGGAGCCCCACTCCTCGCCACTCCCTCATCTCAGCTGGAGTGTGTGATCCCAGCCTTCCAAGAGCTGCAATCCTCAAGCCTGTAGCCAGGGAACACCAGGGAGAGGGGACGCCACCCCCACCCCCACTGGGCAGGGAGCCACCTTCTGGGGAAGGCTGAGGCAGAAGCACTGGAATCCTGTGCTCTTTCTGAGGCAGATGCCCCTGCTAGCAAGTGCCTTTTGTTTCTGGCTGCTAAAACTTTCAGTATCAGATGCCCCAGAAATTCTCTATTTAGCATAGAATGTATAGACATAAAGGGAACAGTCTGGGAGTCCTCACCTGGTCTTAATGGCTTGAACCTTCATCTCATTTGAATGCAGAAAACCAGATTTAGCAAGATCTCATTCCACAGATTTCTAGAAATCCTCAGGGCAAACTCAGAAGCTCTGCAAATCTGCCCTGGTCATCTCTTGTCCCCCCTACACTCTCCCTCTTGCCCCACACTGCTGCTCAAATCTTCCCCTGGGCCACTGTCAGCAGTCTATTCTTACACCCTCAGGAGCAGCTCATCTCAAGCCTCTGCTCTCTTCTGGTCCTGTGCTGTGTGGCTTTGGGGCCTGGACTGTGTTCACAGCTCCCCACGATGAGAGTAACCTAAAGTTCAGGAATAAGAGAGAATAACATACAACATTAAACATGTGGCCACACTCGGAACCCTTGACTCAAACCAAGCCCATCTTTAGGGGGCCAGATAGGCTGCTTCATGGCTGTCTCCCAATCCACGCTCCCCATCATCTCAAAGGCCCAGTTTCCTTCCTTGCAGCAGAGGACCCTCAACCATGTCTGCCTGACCCGGGACCCACCCTCCAACATACACAAGGCCCCAGAGAGAGATGGTCACTTGAACCTCACCATGGCCAAAGGCCTGACTGCCTACTCCTGATTTCCCATTCCTTCTCCCCCAGTGGTTGATATGGAAAAATCCATTCCCTTAGTGAAACTCCCCCACCCTACCCCCCGGCCCCAGAGTGTGTTCCTAAAAACATAACGGTCCAATATCAGCACATTCTGGATTGTTGACATTCACATGCAAGTCAGCAAATGGTCTAGTCGGTGCAGAACTGAACTAATCCTAATCCTCATCCTGATCTAGTGTCTGGGTCCTCTCCAGCATGAAATTTAAAAAAGAAAAAAGAAACCTAACAGAATATCAATGGGGACACAGAGGATGGGACGGGTGTAAGAGATGTGAAGGAGGTGGAGGCTAGGGGCTGACCTGGTATCGAGAGGGGGTGTTCAGGGTGCCGCCTGGGATCCTGGGTGAATTATGGCACCAATGAGCTGAGGTAGGGAGTACAGGAGAGGCATCGGATGAGCACAGATGAGAGTTCCCTTTGGGACATGTTGAGTCTGAGGTGATTGGGAGAGATTCAGTGGAGATGTGCAGGAAGCAGCTCGATGTATCATTGAGGAGTAATTGGCATTCCAGGATTGCCATTGGGACAAGTTCGTGACATGAGGAAGGAATCACATTACATAGCTTTCTAGAATGTTCTTGCCTTTGCTTTCCCATTTCTCTCTGGGGGATACACAGATTCTCTCCTCTCCTCTGACACTTTGACACACCTGCTGAGGTTCATGCCCATAGGGTCTCACCTCCCTGAATGGGCTTGTCAGACTATTTTCCCAAGTGGAGCTGGTCTCCCTGCTTTGCTCAGCTGCATTTCCTGCAACTGGGCTAATGGTGAATTCACTGGCTGTTGTTATTTGGAATCTTAGGATTTT